TAAATTGAGATTTATGGATGTTTTTTCCGGATTTCAATGCCTTTTAAAGAAAAATGAAAGTTCTGTTTGCGCTTGTTATACGCTGGTCCATTTCTGGCCATTCGTCATCCATTGAAGTTATTGTGGAGTGGAAATGTTTAAATTTGTCTACTGTCGTGAACGAATTCCCTTCTACGCAGAGAGTGATATCAGTGTGAGATTTTCGGCTAATTATATACTGTTTTATCTTCATTATCATATAAGAGGAACTTGTAGACCAATTTCCTCTGTTTCTCAAATCAGCAAGTATCCAAATGTCCTCTTGACTTGCTTCCAATGAGAGCTCATCATTTGCTTATCCAAATCCTAGGAGGTTTTTTGATTCAATCCAGCATACATCCCTTCATTTCCCCGTGATGTTTTTATCACTAACTATTTAGCATTTGTAAACCGTTGGAAAGATATTAACTTTCACAGGCAACTGATACTTTTTGCGTTAACCTCAATGATACAGAGAGAAATAAATAAAAAATCATAAATTTAAATAATAACTCTCCCCTTCTGTATGTCTATAACTCCAAACACAACAGTCTTAATAACTGAATCCTTGAATTCTTTAAAATGTATAAATGACATGTACTCGAAACAATCTTTTTGCTTTATATGGGTTCCCAATCATGCAGGAAAAGTTGGTAATGAGCTTGCAAATATGGCAGCCTAACAAGCACTCGAGCTCCCAAGCCAAGGTACTGCTATCCTGACCCCTCCAGAAATGAGTTTTCCTCTCAAAAAGGAAATATTGGATGGTTGACAATTTATATGGAACGAGAGCCCACTTAGCAAATTAAAAGTTGTTAAAAAATCAGTGAAGCTTGGGACGAGATCAAACCGTACTTATTGCAGAGAAGAGGTCACCGTGTCTAAGTTATAAATAGGGTAGTTAACCAACATGTCAACACTGCAATAGCCATCTAACTGTCAGTCATGGTTTTTAGGAATGCTCTTATTATACCTCAAGCTTAAATAGATTGTCCCTAGGACCGGATATATTGCAACAACGAACCAAAACTCCACTTTCTATTAACTTTCGATCAATTTTCCATAATATTTCTGAGTAATATATCTCTCGTACCTATTTACTCTTCCGGTGCTTTAGTTCAAACATCGTCGGATAACCGTTAGAGATGACGCCACCTACACATCTCTTCTCTCTCCCCCCCCCCTTGCAACGACTTTTATTCTCCCTGCGACACTTAAGGAGACAGATAGTACTTCTTTTATTTGTTTCTTATTACAGCTTTCTCAATTTCTTCCCTCCTTCCTTTCATTCCTTTTCTCTGTTTTTAACTCTTTATTATATTATACATTGTCTGTACATCTTGATAGACTTTACAATATTTCAATTTTCTATCTAACTACTCCATTCTCAATGTCTTAATTTTAATATTTATTTTCATTTCTTATAAAACTTCATATTTCTTTTTTTTTTTTTTTATGTTTTACATTTTATTCTAAGATTCCCATTGTAACACTTATGTCACCCTTTTTGATTATGCCTACTTCATCATTCCACACTTTGTAACGGTTATTATTATTTATCTCTTAGTTCTTAGTCATTATTCTAACAATTTCATTTTACTTTATATTTATTTATTTTATTTTTTATTTTTTTTTATTTATTTTTTTTTTTTACCATCACTACTTATGTTTCTCATACCTTGTTATCTGGTTATTTCCTTAGCCCTGATGAAGGCCTGAACTTCAGGTCGAAACGTCGGCATATGTAAAAATAAATTTTATCATTTATGTTTGCCTTCTTTTTTGACTGACCACCCCAACTATTCTTCTCTTAAATATTATTAATAATAAATATTATAATTTATTTTTTGCCTTCCTTTTTGACTGAGCACCCCAACTATTCTTCTCTTCATTATCCACGACAGTCAACCAATTACCAATTATTATTCTTCTCTTCATTCTTCATGTTCAAACTTTAAAAAAAAAGGTTATAAATTTTCTTAAAATCCATAGCCTATTAAATAAAATTTTTCATTTATTATTCTATTTATTTATTATCAGTTTTTGAACATTCATTCTTTTTTCTCTCTTCTAAGGACTTTCTGAACTCCATAGACAGCAAAAATAACTGACTCACAGGCATTGATGACCATAGGGTTTTACTTCTTAAAGCCCTAACAAACGAACCTAAATACAGATTTTTTACTACAATATATGAATGTGATAAACTGTATACAAATTGATGTTGTTTTTTAAATTTACAGAAAAGGGAAAAGATACTCATAAAACATGGCCGGCTATCACAGACGCAGAGAACCCCGTTTTGATAAAAATGGTAATGAGAGTTGGAGATGAAAAATTTTCTAAAACAGCTCGGCATAAAGGGCAAGGCACAGATGGGTTCCTCTGATAAAGAGAGAGCCGAGGGAAAAGGCAGGCTTGAAAAATGAAGAGATAAATCGTAATCCTAGCTCCTCTGGCTTGCAAATTATTGATAACTCCCCAGAGCAAGAATCATATTCTCGCCATACTTCTCAAAGCGTCTTACCAGGTTCTTCCTCAGCATTAGTTACAGAAACAAATATAAAACCTAAAATTGGCATTTTTTTTTTTTTATCAGCATAGATTAAATTAATATAAAATTAGAATTATTAATCGATCAGTCCCCACTAAGCATACAGAGAGCCTAGTTGGCAGGTACGACGACAGATTCATAATTCTCTTCTTCCTTAGGGTATAGCTATTTATCGAGATTGATGATATTTCATAAACTAAAAGAATGTGGATAAAAATATATATTTTTAATACAAGAAACCGAAGTTATCAGAGGTAAATCGCTTACAACGAAAGTAGGGTCTACCTTACCTTACCCGTACCTCCTTGGCATCGCTCCACAGAGGGACCCTAATGCGATAAATTGTATATTGTCTTATTCGATCATCATAAAAAAAAATTTAAGAAAAGACAAGTTATATCGGTAAATAGAGACATCTTCAGAGGAATAGACGAACGCTTGATTCATTGGATGCGGGTTTTTAAAAGGATCCATGCTTTATGTACTTTTTATTACTGAATCGAATGGTAAAGTACTATTTTAATCAAAAAAGACTAATAAAAAACAATAATATACTTGAAACGAGAATTCAATGCAAATACAGAAATTTTAAAAAATAGATATAAATAAAACTACTAATCTTCGGAATACATTTTTTTTTTTTATTCTTGTCTAGTAATATTTCGTCAATTTCAATCATCTTTAATATTTTCATGTTTCATTATTTTTTAAACGTTTTATTCAACTAAAATATTGTATTCAATTAAAAAATATTTCATTGATAAATAAAAAAGTGCTAAATTATATAAACTATATATATCCTTTTTCTATCTCACTCACTCTCTCTCTCTCTCTCTATATATATATATATATACACATAATTTTTTTATTTATTTTTTTGTGTGTTTGCATTACAGTCAACTTAGATCATTTGCCGTCCTAACAAGCCTATTTCATCTTTTCCTGTGGCTTGGGCTATTTCTTTCCCTTTATCTGCAAGCAGCTCTATTGCATCTTTGTTAACCGTAACTATCTATCTGCTTTTTGGTCTTCCACGTGGTCTTTACCTTCTATTGAGGTTTCAGATGGATTGCTACAAGCTACATACCCCAACTATCTTGACCTCCGTGCCTTCATATCATGGAATATTGATTGTTCAATTTCTATAAGCAGTTTATTGGTCTTTCTTCTCTATGTGTTAATACTCTGATCCCAGATCACTCCTATTATCGTGCAGAGGATATTATTATATATATGTATCTCCTTTCATTTTCCTCCACTTTGACTACGGTTGAGTGGTGCGTAGATCAAAACGGCTCATAAACTCCTTCTTCAGATCAGTCTTCGGTATTTCGAGGCAGTCTCATGTGTTCCACCTTTACGACGAGTTAAGATGGTTCTTTCCTTCTTCCTGCCTACAACATCTCCTTGGATCTTACCTATTCCAAATGATCAAATCCCGACACCTTTCCTCAATCAACAATCTCCTGCAGCTCAAGCCCGTAGTCCACTCTCAGAATACAAGATTTCTTGTTTCCCATATATCTCTTAACATACTACTACGAAGCATTCGTGTACGGGTGGGAGGAAGTAGTCGGGGATGATCACTTTAACATCCGCTAACGAATAATGAAGAACCTGAAGATAAGTGATAAAAGTTTTACCAAAAATCAGTATTGCTGAGAAGCAAGAGAAGCAGAAAATAAAATAAAAATAGATTACTTATTGCAGTTGCAGACTACAAAATGTCACGTTTACCACAAATAGAATAAACATGGAAACATGTTACATCCGACCTTTTACACTTACAGTAGCAGTATTAATTTTTTAGTATTAGATTTTATATTTTACTATCAAGGAGGAAGTAAATCACGCATCGTTTGTTCTACAAGAATAAAGGCTTATATATCTTCATATTGTTTAAAAATACTGTATATTAAAATTATAATATAAAATAAATATTTTAATTTGTACGAACCTATTAGAATTATTTATATAATTTATGTTTTTTAATTTTCAGGTGTCCATGTCTAAGCAGTCTCGGCCCGCTGGTTTAAGAGAGAAATGAAGAAACAAAGAGTTTCGATAGTGGCATCCAATAAATTAAAAATATTAATATGTTTATTTAGAATAAATAACTAAGAATTGCAATAAGTGATAACATTACGATAGGTTACTTTTGATTAACTATTCGGGGATTTCGTTTAGGTTATCCAAAAGTCTTTTTACTTAAAAAGTAATTTTTGTTTGTTTTTGGTCAAAAGGAGGTATTCTAAAAACATTAAGCAGTCATTACCAAAAGAAACGGGTACGTACGCCTTATTTATGAGTGTATATGCAATAGCATTACGATATAATCCGTTTAAGTTCTATCGACACAAGATAAAGATCCTTGTCACTTAACAATTTATTTACTGTACATAAGTTCGATAAAGAGGCAAGTCGTTCGCTATTCTTCTGGCCGCTTCTCTCCAAACTTTTTGGTGTGTTCCAGAGCATTTCTCACGAACTTCTTCTTGTCTTTGATGTATTCCTCCGCGATGTCCGCCCTCAAAGGATGCTCCGGCTCAGGTGTATTGACCAGCGCCACTAAGGCCTGTATCACCTGCTCGGCCTTCGTTGCCGGTTTCCAGTTCTCGGATGTGACTAAGGGTAGGCAGACTTGTCCCTGCTCATCGATGTTGGGATGGTATATCTTCGTGCCGAACGTGATCTTGGGCGGCTTGAAGGGATACTCGTTAGGGAACAAGATCTCTACCCTGAAGGCTGCTTGGTTGTAAGGAAAGAATTCCGGTACGAGGAGACCAGTCCAGCGGAGGATGTTTCCATCCTCCATACTCACATTCCTGAAACCGCGAAAACTCGACGTCTTCACTTCCGCATATTCCTTTTGCAGTCTTCTGGCGGCGGCCATTTTAGCCAACGCTAGCTCTATCCGAAACATATATAATTTTAAATTGTAGGTTATTTCGTCGACATGTTAAAACTTACTGTAACATATGGTGATAATAGCGTTCCTTAGGTTCTGAAAAAAATCATATGCCGTAAAAAATCAATTATATTTTACCCCTTTTTTTCATCTCTATTATATCTAACCCTATTCTGTTCTCTCTTATTGGTCATTTACTTTATACAACGCTCTAATTTTATTTTTTGAGTTATAAATATTAATCATCAAGGTTGCATAGATGTGAAGCCTTAAATAGATAAAATTGAGATTAAAACTGAGTATAGCCAATATTACTATGAAGCAAAAGTTGTCTTCTATTTTCTAAAAAAAAATCCATTATTACCAAACAAAAAAAAATCATTCAAAAGCATCCATTAATACTGCAAATCCAGAGCTAGAACTTCATTAGTGAGATGACTTCGATAATCAGTTGATCGACTGACCCAAATTGGATATTACTAAATCGGGCCTCATTTCGGTCAAGTTACCAACATGTTTGCAGACGAAACATAAGTGAATCAACCGTGAACTTAATCAAGCATAGCCATCTATTACTGAAATGGGAGATCAAGTAGGGATCAAGGGATAAAATAGAACATTTTTCGTTAAAATCGAGGGATCCAATATCCAGATGTAAAGTCTGATTTGTATATTGCTTTATAAAAAATCTGTGATATTATATAAAATAGATATTCATTCTTTTTTTTTTTCATCACATAAAATACTTTATTGAGAAATCTTACAATCTGCCCCGTCTAAGGACAATATAAATTGTGATAGAAGAATAGATCATTCACACGATGCACAATAAATAAAAATAAGTGAACAGCAAAATTATAATATTAAAAATAAATGTATATAAACTAAAAGAAACCAAACTAAACAAAAATAAACTAATCAGAAGAACTACTTAAGTACACACATGATATTCACTCTAGCTATAATTAATAAACAAGGAATATAACTTTACTTTTTTTAAGCTTATAAATTTTAAAAAATCTTAAATTCTCAAGTTGTTAAAACAAACGTTATAAAAGTATATTTTTTTTCCTTGAAACGAATATACTGAATTAATGTAGCCCAAAATCGTTCTTGGTCTTGCACTTCGCAAGAGCAAGACCAAGACTGCTTAACTGTTGCATGACCAAGACCAAGAATAGTTAAAAAAATCGATTTTTTGAATAAAAATTAAAGCAAAGTAGTTACTAATACTTGACAATTTTAGTTACTATATGTAAAGAGTCGGTATAACCAATATAATTTTCCATTTAACTCTTCTACTTTTTCATTGGAGCTTAGTTAGGTTTCTCCTATCTAAAATATTATAATAAAATCTCTATATTAATAAGCTGATAGATAACTGCAAGACCGTTGCGAGACTCTTGTGCAAGACCAAGACCTAGACTAAGACTGAGTTTACAAGACCAAGACTCGTCTCGGTCTCGCATTTGTGCAACACTGCACCGAATGCTGTAAATAATTAAAACATACTAAGTATTTTACTATGAAAATTTTACATATGTTTTTATGTTGCGGTTTTGGATTGTTTCAATTCTAAAATAATTTTCTTGAATTTTAAAAGAAATAAAAACTATTATTGTACTCCATTTAAATGTTTCTAATCTTTAATTAGTAACGTAAAAACAAAAAAACTTCTATGCATGAAATTTGGAAACGGGGTGTTATTCGAAAAATCATTTGGTTGAAAAAAAGCCAAATCCATTACATTTTATTTCATGAAATTTGAACCATAAAAATTTTCATTATTGAGAGTACCGCCAAAACATTAAACAATTATATTTTAAAAAAATATTTCCAAAACCAAACGCAACACTAGATTGCCACAAGCCAAGAGACCCAAATCGATTTTCTTTTTTCCTTAAATGGATCTAGTGCAAAAAATAAAACTTGAAATATACTGTAATTAATGTCAAATATATTCATGTATGAATAATTCTGTTTTATTATTATTTATTTAAGATATCTACAACTGTATTAAGAAAAAAATACATTTAGTAAATATGATAACAGAAAATAATAACATGAAAAACTACCCACTGGTAGTATTCTTAAAAAAAAAATGTATTTACAAAAGGAGATCTCGAGGCCGTCTTCTTTCAGACGCCTCGGAGGGTGAAATAAATTTAAACATTTCCAAAAATAATCTCAAGCTCCTATAACATTTTTAATATTATTAAAACACTCATCAACTCATCAATTATATCATGCGAAAGGAAAGCCCTGTAAATAAAAATAATTTACAGATGGTAATCGTTTCATTCTTCATTTATAGGCAACACAATAATAAATGGTTTCAAATAAAAAAAAATTAAAATACATTTTTATAGTACTAGAATCTTTTGGAGTAAAAATAATTTTAATGAAAATTAGATATTTTCATTAAATTAAAAGTATTTTTAAAATCATCAATATTTTATCACTTACACAAGTTGTCTGATCATTTTAGTTATAACCCACAAATTTAATTCTTCCTATTTCAGCTCAGTCGAATTCTCAAAATCACTGGCGGGTCTGCTGGAATTATGTATGGTAAGTAATTATCGTTACATACATTTTAAAAAAAGAAACCTTACGGGTTGAAGCCTCTCCAAAAATTAAATTGTGGATCCGCTAGTGCTTAGAATTAAAATGAAACAATGATTGATTAGCAATTCGTTTTCTGAGGTTCATTATTACACCAGACAAATACCCCGAAATATTATTTAACATAAACATAAACGCTGTAGCATTATAATAACATTAAATATTGAGATAGTTGGAGGTACCATAGAAGTGAGCACCTGGCAGTGAAAGTTACTGGAGCAAATGCTGTGAGAATGAGATGTTTAAATTGGCGCTGCCAAATTTCATCCCCATTTCCGAGCTCACTTCCACTTAATGGGCTGGACGTAAAGGAGGTATTAAAGTTGCTATAAAAGATCAGGCCATTAGTCCAAATGATTATTTGGATATCTAGTCAGTTCAAATGTGGCAATACACGATTACTCCAGTTGGATTAAATCCAAAACCTTTCCACATACTCCTACGCCATCATCCAAGTCAACGCACGCTGTTCGATTTTCTTAAAATTCGACACAAATGTTCCATGAAATATTAAAAAAAGACAGATGCGAACAAGATTTGAATTTTTTTAATTACGGTTAATTGTAAATAGATGTGTATGTGTTCTTTTTATTTATTTATTTTTAGGTTATTTTATTCTTATTTATTGTATATATATTATTTTTCTGTATAATTTATTTTATTTATTGTACATAGAGTGTGAATGTGATCTGTGAACTCTATTATAAATGTCCTAGAGACTGATTGTAATATTTTTCAATAAATAAGTTTAAAAAAATACGCTCCAAGATGATGGTCGTTTTAATGATTCGATCATCAAAAATGTATTAATTTTTTTCATATACTTTATACTCACAACCAAATACCGTGTTTTTTATTGTATTTTTTTCACGATATCACATAAATGGAGAAGGGAAAACGAAATTAGATAATTAATTTATATTAGTAAAATAACATTGAAAGCGCTACTTTCATTCAGCTTTTTTTTTTCTAATTATTATTTTAGATGTATCTGACTTAAATTGCATATCGCTGTTAGTGCTAGCGTTGCCCAAAATCGGTCTTGATCTTGCACTTTGCAAGACCAAGGCCACCTAACTGTAGGATGACCAAGACCAGGACTGGTAAGAAAAATCGATTTTTTGAATAAAAATTAAGGCAAAATAGTTACTAATACTTGACAATCTTAGTTACTATATGTAAATAAGTGATATAACAAATATACTTTTGCATTTAACTCCTCTATTTTTTCATTCGGGCTTAGTTAGCTTTTCCTATATAAAAAAATATAGTAATATCTATATAGTAATAAACTAATGTAAGACTATTAGGTGACCCTTGCGCAAGACCAAGACCTAGTTAGTGCAAAAGGTCGTATGTAATAATTTTACATGTTTATTCTCTCTGTGCTAAAGATGTCATTTTCTGAGAAAATGACATCTGCAATTGCTATATAAGTAGTCTGCTGTAAAAAACACTCTTCTATAAAAAAAAAATGTTCTTCTGTAAAAAAACTCAATTTTTACATATGGTCATTTACGCTAACATGTATAATAATGTTACGTATAATAATTCGAAACAAAAAATATAATCAAAATTGGACACACCATGTCTAACACATCTCCATTTACTTCATTGCCTAGATCATCAACATGACAAACATGTGACAAAACTAACCTGACTGTAGAACATATATTAGATAGATAGATAGATAGAAAAAAAAAACTTTATTCTGGGACTAAGTCCCTTCAGAATAACAATAATGTACAAAATAATAGAATATTACTGGCCTAAACGTTTGAAACAATAAATAAAATTGATAAAATAAAGTAAAAAAAACCTTAGGTGCACAAGCTATATACAATACAGATAAAACTATGTACAGAACAAAAATTTAAAATTATGAACAAAACAATTAAAACTATGAAAGAATCACTTGAACAATAAACAAAACTATATATAAGGGTTGAACAACATAAACATACACTTTGAGAAATGAAGAACGAAAAAGAGATAGAATGAGTTCATTTCATAAAAAAAAAAAATTTTACTTGAATATATATATATATATATATATATAAACAGTTAATTATAATTAAATAAAAAAAATGTATGTATTGAAATTCCTACGTCGATAGTAGGAAATGCATGTACTATCTCATATCAAGTATTATGATTATATGATTGCTACACAATACATATATAGTATTAATAGTTAGCTGTATTACGATATAAAAAATGATAGTAAACAAGAACTGAATACTGAAGACATAATTTCGTTCAAATAACAGAAGGAAATTGAAAAAACCTGAAGTTTATTGAAGAAACAAAATTAAGGAATCATATTTAAGAAAAAAGATCTAATGGCTATGACAGTCGAAGCGACGTTACAAAACAACAAATTAAAAAAA